GTGGGGGAACGCCCCAAAAACACCCCAAAAACAAGTAAAAACACCCCAAAACACCCCAAAACCAGCCCAAAATACCCCAGAAACACCCCAAAAACCCCAAAATATTTTTTCCCATTTTCCCCCGTTTTCCCCCATTTTTCCCCATTCCCCCCATTTTTTCCAGTCAAAGGTGTGAATTTCTACGGCCCCAAGAGCGAGTTCGTGGTGAGCGGCAGCGACTGCGGCCACATTTTCCTCTGGGAAAAATCCTCCTGCCAGATCGTGCAGTTCATGGAAGGCGACAAAGGCGGAGTGGTGAGCCCCAAAATCCCCCAAAATCCCCAAAATTCCCCAAAATTCCCAAGAATTTTCCCTGCATTCACCCCCTTTTCCCCAAAAAGCAGCGTTGTTTTCCCCTTGCTGTTTCCCGGGGTGTTTTGGGATCCCAAATTTGGCCGATCCCGAGGATTTTTCCAGCTGTTTCCTGCTCTGGGCTGCAGGAAAGGGAGGTGTCAGTGCTGGGAATGTTCCCATCCCAAATTTCCTCTGCTGGGAATTGGTGGTTCCCACGATTTGGGATGGCCAGGAAGGACCCCTGCCCTTTTTCCCTCTTTTCCCCCCTTTCTTCCCCCACTTTTTATTCCCCTTTTCCTCCTTTTTTCTTTCTTTCCCCGTTTTTACCCTGGTGAGCTGCCTGGAGGTGCAAATCCCCCAGTCCCAATCCCATTCCTATTCCCAGTCCCATTCCCAACCCCACAATTCCCATTTTTCCCCACAATTCCCATCATTTTTCCCATTATTTTCCCAGGTGAACTGCCTGGAGCCGCACCCTCACCTTCCCCAATTCCAATCCCATTCCAAACCCCACAATTCCCAATCCCATTCCCATTCCCAATCCCATTCCCAACCCCACAATTCCCATTTTTCCCCCCCAATTCCCATCATTTTTCCCATTTTTCCCCCTTTCCCAGATGAACTGCCTGGAGCTGCACCCTCACCTTCCCCATTCCCAATCCCATTCCCAATCCCATTCCCAACCCCCCAATTCCCATTATTTTTCCCGTTATTTTCCCCAGGTGAACTGCCTGGAGCCGCACCCTCACCTTCCCCATTCCCAATCCCATTCCCAGTCCCATTCCCAATCCCAATCCCAACCCCACAATTCCCATCATTTTTCCCATTTTTCCCATTATTTTTCCCCCTTTCCCAGGTGAACTGCCTGGAGCCGCACCCTCACCTTCCCCATTCCCAATCCCATTCCCAACCCCACAATTCCCAATCCCATTCCCATTCCCCATTCCCATTCCCAACCCCACAATTCCCATTCCCAACCCCACAATTCCCATTCCCATTCCCATTCCCAATCCCCCAATTCCCATCATTTTTCCCATTATTTTTCCCCCTTTTCCAGGTGAACTGCCTGGAGCCGCACCCTCACCTGCCGGTGCTGGCCACCAGCGGGCTGGACCACGACGTCAAGATCTGGGCTCCCACGGCCGAGGCTCCCACCGAGCTGCGGGGCCTCAAGGAGGTGCGTGGGGCTCTCCCAGCCCTTCTCCCCCCTTTTCCCGACTTTTCCCTGGAGCGTGGCCCCGTTCCCGCCGCAGGTGATCAAGAAGAACAAGGTGGAGCGGGACGAGGACAGCCTGCACCACACGGACATGTTCGACAGCCACATGCTCTGGTTCCTCATGCACCACCTGCGCCAGCGCCGCCACCACCGGGTATCTCCCGCCCCTTTCCCGCTTTTTCCCGCTTTTTCCCGCTTTTTCCCGCTTTTTCCCGCTTTTTCCCCACATTTTTCCCTCTTTTTTCCTGCTTTTTCCCGCTTTTTTCCCCATTTTTTCCCGCTTTTTCCCACTTTTTTCCTGCTTTTTTCCCTCTTTTTCCCCGCTTTTTTCCCGCTTTTTCCCCGCTTTTTTCCCCCGCTTTTTCCCTCTTTTTTCCCGCTTTTTCCCGCTTTTTCCCTCTTTTTCCCGCTTTTTCCCGCTTTTTCCCTCTTTTTTCCTGCATTTTCCTGCATTTTCCCACTTTTTTCCCCATTTTTTCCCGCTTTTTCCCCCATTATTTTCCTGCTTTTTTCCCTATTTTTCCCACTTTTTTCACGCTTTTTCCCACTTTTTCCCGCTTTTTTCCCACTTTTTCCCTCTCTTTCCCGCTTTTTCCTGCTTTTTTCCCCCTTTTTCCCTGCTTTTTTCCCGCTTTTTCCCACCTTTTCCCACTTTTTTTCCCGCTTTTTCCCTCTTTTTCCCTCTTTTTTCCTGCTTTCTCACGCTTTTTTCCTTTTTCCCACTTTTTTCCCTCTTTTTCCCGCTTTTTTCCCCATTTTTCCCACTTTTTCCCGCCTTTTCCCGCTTTTTTGCCGCTTTTTCCCACTTTTTTCCCACTTTTTCCCGCTTTTTTCCCGCTTTTTTCCCGCTTTTTTCCCACTTTTTCCCGCTTTTTTCCTGCTTTTTCCCGCTTTTTTCCCGCTTTTTTCCCGCTTTTTCCCTCTTTTTCCCGCTTTTTTCCCGCTTTTTCCCTCTTTCTCCCTCTTTTTTCCTGCTTTCTCACACTTTTTTCCTGCTTTTTTTCCTTTTTCCCACTTTTTTCCCTCTTTTTCCCGCTTTTTTCCCCATTTTTTCCCGCTTTTTCCCGCTTTTTTGCCGCTTTTTCCCACTTTTTTCCCGCTTTTTCCCGCTTTATTCCTGCTTTTTCCCGCTTTTTTCCCTGCTTTTTCCCGCTTTTTCCCACTTTTTCCCACTTTTTTCCCCGTTTTTTCCTGCTTTTTTCCTGCTTTTTCCCCCTTTTTCCCGCTTTTTTCCCCAATTCCCCCATTTTTCCCCAATTCTCCCATTCCTGACCCAATTCCTCCCATTTCCCCCAATCCCCCCATTTCCCAATCCCCCCCATTCCCCCAATCCC